GGAGAGCCAACAACAAAGGGACCACTCCCTATACTTGAACACCATTCTTGGTTTCAAGATTCTCTCCAAGGGTATGAACTTCTTATCTTTCTCTCAAATAGGATTTAGAGAGTCTTTGGTGCACACTTTCATAGACTTATAAAGATTGGGACCAAATGAGACTTGCATGAATCCCTAGTTTATTTAATGCTTTTGCTCTTACTTTGATTTCATATTAGATATGGGTTGCTAGGTGATTTATACTCTCAAAGTTTGGTTGTAAAGTTTTTAGAAATCTCTACACAACACTATTATCACAATATTCCCTTCAAGACACCCATTGGAACAACTTCTATGAAGAATGTCTCCTCATTCGAGCTGTCTATGTTGCTGAAAGAAGGCCTGCAATGTGACCTACGAAACTGGGTTGGCAGGGAAGTGCAACCAAAATTTGATATATCTTTAAGCTCTTATTCCTCTCATTCTCATAAGATCTTAACATGCTTGAATTGCATACATTCTGCTCTCTTTCTCTCTGAACTTACAAAACACACAAAGAGAGGTAAATGACTCAAAATGCTAAGAAACTTGTTGACACCGTAACTGACCGAGCAATTAGCTAGGCTAGACCATCCACGTGCCATGCTTTGAGAGGTCATCACCTTAGCCAAAGAAGCCTTACCACAAGTCACAACTCTAAGTAAGGCAAGGAGTCCCACATTGGAAGACTACAAGAGGTGAAGACACCTCCTCACCTATAAAAGAAGACTACTGTTCAATTAGAAAGGGGTCTTGGGTCTTAAGTCTTGACCCTTGGGCCTTGGATCCGAGACTGGGCTGGGCTTCTCACTTGTTACCTTTATATTTGGGTCCAACCCCATGTACAAATGCAAATACGCATTATTATAATAATGAGAATATACTTCTCCGTGGACGTAGCCCATTCATTAAGGGTGAGCCACGTATATCTTGTCTTCTGTATGTTTATTGTTTGCCCAAATCGTCACACACATGCTGAAGGTCCTCACCTTCACCCATCATCCATCACACCTCATTACTAAGTTGGACTCAATCTTAGCCGAACCATTTTGAGAATCAACAGTTTGACGCCTTCTGTGGGAATTGACACAAGAAGCCCTTGTCGATTCTCCCTTCTTCAGTGCCTTTCGGCACCCTTACAATCAACATAAATTAATTGTCGTTCGGCAATACCCGTGGTCAGGCAACTATGAGTCACCAAAACATCAAGATGCCGAAGGCACTACTCTTGTTGAAACCTCCATCAGATAAGTGGCACATTCATTATACTTATTATTCTTGGGATCAAGAAAAGCCACGTGCATTATTTTTAGGAGATAAAGCACACTTTCTTATCTTATATTTTACTATATTCATAAGCATGCAATTCAATGATTGCATATATTATTCAAGGGGCTCAATCGATGGCCTAGCCTTCATTCATTCTCATTTTAATACTATTTTGTCCTATTTGCCATATAGGAAAGTCTGGAGCAATTTAAATGGCCAAGCCAAATGGCACCCCATCCTCCAAACAGCAACCATATGCTTCAGAAAGTTCATAACTCAGAGAACCATGCTTGCTGTTAGTCTTTCGTGGGCTACGGTTTGGAACAACATACTAGCAATTTTTATCAAGCCACCCAATTCCTACCCCAAAATTGCCGACAGATATACGAATAACATCTCATGGCTGGCAAACCAAGGCCTGCCGAACGGCATCTCAGGCATTGGGGACAACCAAAGATTGCAAGTGCCGCACGACACATCCATCCAAACCAAACAGCACCCAGCCACCAAATTAATCTAGACACCCAAAGAGAATGGGTTCATATCAGCAAGCCCAATTGCCGATTGACACCCATCTCCAATCCTTTAACTTCAGCCAATAGCTTTCAGAAGCCATATCCACTTCCAAAATTCTGCCTTCAACAACAGAAAAAGACAACATGCCGAAGATATACGCATTTGCCGAAACAACACACCATTCAGTCACTTTGAAGATTTCCAACTTGAAGGTTGCCAAATATTCCAATACACCAAAAGCATCACTCTGCATGGCTTGCATGGCCAAGGAGGCCGACCACCATTTCAATCCAATGCCCACGTGGTTCACTTCAAGGAGACAATTGCAAGTACTGTACAACACCCAATGCCCAAACTCTTTTCGGCACAACCAAATACAAATATCTTGGACAAGCTACATCTGAAGCTGTTTATACCCAAAATGAACAGCCAATGAGAATGAGACACGTGGAAGAGATCGAGCTTGGTCAGGGGCGTCCTCGGCACCCTACCTACCGATCGCTCCATTAGGGCAACGCCCTCTCATGGGACACGTGGCATGCTCCCCAGCGACGTCCACAGTCCCACATCGAAATTATCAACAAAATGCACACCTCCCAAGGCCTATAAAAGGGGCCAACTACCCCAAAATAAAGGTAATCAGAACTTACGGCATACAAGCCTATTGATCTGTCAGTTGAACTTTCTAAATCCCGAACTTACTCAAGCATCGGAGAGCCTTTGGCCGGTACCACACCGGTGCCTTGGATCTTACCGTGTGTTTGCTCATATTGCAGATCACGCTCCCTACCGAGGCATTGAGGATACCGAAGGTATAAAATTACTAAATTGACCCTTTAAGTCAGAGAACCACTTTTTGGCGTCAACAGTTTGGCGCCGTCTGTGGGAACGATAAACAAATCAACCCTTTATCCCAAACATATGGGGACCAACTCGAAAACTACATTCCTACCGCAGGAGGGGATGCTGTACGGTATGCCAGGCGGAGCTAGCTCGGCGCCCCCATATACCCCGGCAACTAATCCACCTGTACTCCAACCCGCTGAAAACGCGGAGCTTTTAGCCCAAGTCGTGTCCCTTCGGCAGGACATGGCTAGGTTACAAGAACACAACAATTTCCTCTCGTCCAAGGTGGACGAAACACAACAGCTGCTGAACCAGCAGCAAACGCAAAACATCTAGACCGATCGATCCTCCGAGAGCCTACAGACTTCCCGTCGGCAGAGGAAGGGTAAAAAAGTGGCCGAGGTTGCGCCTGCACCATCTAAACCCTTGGTAGTCCCGGCACCAAAAAATAAGCCTTATGTGCCGAAGAAAGTCTATTCCGATTGTCGCCATAGGCTATTGGATCGGGAGGCCGAACGACAAACCGAGTGACAGGGGTCGCCGATCAGGATAAAGGCGCGCCTGGATGACCCCCGGCTGAGAAGTCTGGGAAGGAGGTCGCCGATACGGAGGATACAAGTCTTGGAGTCAACGGCAGGGTCCGACCAAGAATACGCCCCTTCCACGTTTGGCAACGCCAACAAAGTTCTCTGAGGTTAACCCTATCAGATCCCAGCAGCGGTCGGTGCATCAAACCGCTGAGGAGATACCGGACAGGGACCCTGTCATTCGCCTTCTCCTTCAGAGGGTACAGAAAATGGAGGACGATCGGAATCGCTCGCAGGAGCCAGACTGGGGAAGGCTTCGGCCAGGACCCTTACACAGGAGTGGAAGACCCCCTGGCGCACCTCCACTCTTTCCAATCAGCTGCAGGGTGCCAAGGGCTAAGCGACGAAGGACTGTGCCTACTGTTCCCATCTTCGCTCA